AAGCAGCCACTCCCTCAGCATTGGTCCTGCAACCCCCAGCACCAACACACATTTGATGGAGTACTTGGCTTGCTAAAGACTGTTCTCCCACACTGTCACCCGTGCGTGCTCCCTGACGTCCCCTAAGGCCCGCGGGGTACCTGGCCAGCATTTCCAGACCGTTTGCTGCGTGCAGGTTCTGACACCTCTCCACGCCTGTGCCGTGACCGAGGCTTTACCTTGTGTTTCAGGCCATAAACAGCATCCCCAGTAGGTAATTGCTGGCAGGGGAGGAGGTACAAGCCATAACCGAAGCTCTTGCCAGCCTGTACATAGAGATGATTTCTCTTTTGAATGGATATGCTTGTGAAAACGACAGCTTAAACAATCGAAGCTCTCCCCACACTGCCAGCACTTGCAGGCTCTCTCCTCTCCTTCGTCAGTTATCTGGCAAAGGGGCAAGCTCTAACTACAGGTCTGACTCCTGCTGCTCTGCAAACATCCCTCTGTGCACATACTGCTAGATGAGAGGTACTCCCAGCACTGCACACACTGAATAGAGAGAGCTAATTCTTCTCCATCCTGCTACAGGATAAAATTGAGATCACAAGCTGTTTTTTCATCTTAATTTTAAGCAAAGTCTTTTTGCAATAAAGCCAGCGTATCGCCTTGTACTACTGGGCCCACACAACAGCTGTTCTCAACAGATTCTAAATTATTTTTCATCCTCTGACACTGAAAATAAGATTGTCACCAAAGCTGGTGCTTTGCAGGCTCCCTATTGCTACTGCTCAAGCAACAACTATTACTCAGCTACAAGCCCTGACCAAGAGAAAAAACATCTCTTGAACGGTTTGAAATGATACTTGAAACATTTCAGTAGACAAGCCACTCTGACAGGTAGCTCTAAGGGAAAACAGCCTCTACAACTTTCGCTCAGAAGAACAAGGATGGAACACAGCACCTCCGGCAGTATCGCCGTCCATCTGCACCCGCGGCTGATGCTGCCCACACGCACAACCAGCATCTTAGTGTATTTACAGCCACTACAACTGGGTAGAGCACTTACAACATTTACCTCTGTACTCATAACGAGATTGTAGTAGTTGAGATACACAGCACCTCATGGAAAAAATCTGACAAGATTTTACCTCATTATTTTCCATGGTTTTTTGTTTGAATCCATCTCTATTTTGCTCCAGCTGACTGATCATTTTACAGAAAACTACCACATATGCCACCTAGTCAAATCTCTGAAACTGAAGCTGGAACAGTGCTTTACCCAATTTAGTTTTGAAATTCCCAGGGACAGAGATTCCATATGATACCCAGATAATTCACACAGCAGAAAGAAAAAAAGGGCGGCTCTTTCTTCAAAGAGGAGCTACATTCATTCCAACAAATCAGATACTACAAGATACAGTAAAAAACTTTTGCATCCATATCCATATTTGCCTTCAATGGAAAAGATACAGTAAAAAACTTTTGCATCCATATTTGCCTTCAATGGAAGTGTGGCAACCTGCCCCTAGGACAATCATTATCTAAATTAACAGAGAGCACATTGTGCCGCCTGCTGCAGCCAACTAACTGGTAGCTCTGATGCACAATTATTTTCAAAGGAATCATAACAGGAGAATTTCTTACCTCCTGGCCTGTATACAACATCATCCTCTGTGATAAAGGATGTTATTTCTCCGTTGTCTGTTCTCTCGTATCGGGACTTCTTCTTGGGTGGTTTCTTTTTGCTCTTCTTTGTGGACTCCTCTGTGGTGGCACTGTTGTTGTCATTGTCCTCATCTTCACTGTGGTCGCTTTCCGCATAATTCTTGGCGCCTCCTTCCAGTGTACAGCTCCGTCGAGGACGCGAGTTTTCACTCTCCCTCACCTTGTCTCTCTTGTCTCGGTCCTTATCCCGGTCTCTATCCCTGTCCTTCTCTTTGTCTTTGTCTTTTTCTTTGTCCGCTGTCATGATTCGCCACGTGCCTTCTTCTGTCCTCTCACGGCTGGGCCTCCGTGAAAGGTAGACAGTGAGCCTGGGCTTCAGTCTTCTGAATTTCTCACTCAAATCCAGGAAAAATTCAACCACTCCAACAACCCCAGCGTTTTAAAAAGGTTCTTGAAGGGGTGGGGGGGGGAGAAAGAGGGGAAAAACCCATGTTAATATTCAAAATTTTTTCAATTTCTGAAAATAAAAATTAAAAACAAAGAAAATCCCCACATCCTAAAGCAATTCAGTATGGAAAACACAAGACAGTGGTCTTTTGAAGCATTCATAGAAATGATAACTTATGAAGTGTCTGGAAAATGTTCAAAGCTATCTCCATCCTCAAAGAGATCTCGCAATTCCCTAAAAAAAATATTTTGTTCACTACAGAAATATAAGAACATCTTGGATGGGAAGTGCTCCCTCAGAACACGCATCATTTTATACCTGAAGCTGAACAGGAAGCATGCAAGGGACAAGCGCAAGAAAGGAAGAGTCTGCAACTTCTTTTCCTCAAAGCAAATGAAGTTTACCAAATGGCTGCGTTGTTTTATATCTCAACAGCACTAGCAACGGATGCCCTACAAAGCTGGTACAGAGTAAAGCATGCCATCTGCCACCTCCAGGGCAATCTGCTCGGAAGTTTTCCTCCTACCCTGCTTTTCCAAAAATAGAGCTAACCTGTAATCCACAGATTACAGGAATGAATTAATTGAAACCAAACCACAGGAGTTACAAGTGCACTAACAAAATGCACTTTTCCATCTATCAAAAATACGACCTTTCAAGCTTGCTTTACCAATAACAGAGCAACTAGAGGTGGGTTTTGTAACATCACCTTCACACATTCAGTTTCCTGCTGGGAAATAGGAAGGGAAACCTTGTACCACAAACCAGTGCGCAGAACAGTCGCCTACTGTCGTGGTTTAACCCCCGTGGGCAGGAAGCGCCAGACAGCCGCTCACTAACTCCCCTGCAGTACCCTGCACCCGGGGTCTGGATTAACTCCCTATGAGACACTATTGCTGTACCTCAATCGAATCAAAGGTAAAGAATACTGGCCCTATGCAGTTATATCCTTTATTCGTTTGACTCAAAATTAAGAGTTCCCTTTAAATGTCCTTTCTGTTGCTCAAATCTAAATGATCTGGACTGACAGGCTGCATGATACATCTTTGAGGGAAAGCCAGCAGCATATCCACCAGAATTTTTAGTACCCTCTCTGGAAAAGCCCTAGTGAATTTGCACCAGCTGAAGTATTTACAAGTGCCTTTCGATATTGCTCAAAAGCAGCTGTCTGAACAACTACAGGCTACTACTGAACAAGAATCATAACATACTAATTTTTTTGTAAATATTAATGAAAGAGGTACACACATACATACATGCAAAGGTAAATCACCCTTCTTCCCTAGTTCATCAATTCAGGATAAAGCTGAATTTACCCACATCCAATTCACAGGTTCTCAGGAAGCTACTGTGTGGTGCAACTTAAAATTAGTCCACTGTGTCGAATGCCAGAGCATGAAAGTCAGGGACCTAAGAAGACTGACTGTTCATGCACTAAGCATCTGAAACCACATTAGAGGAGGAAAAAGACTACTTTGATTTTTAAGAAGTCAGCTGAGAAGTCAGTGATCCTCTGTATCTGAAATTTCTTCACTCTTACATGAATCTCAGGCTACAATATTCTTGTCCCTGCTGACACTACTTCCAGCAATGGAAACAGCCGAAGGGAGACAAATTGCTTTTGCTGATGCAATTCAGGCTGTGGCTTGAATCTCTCAGGCATTTCCTGAATGAACCGATCATCCAGGTAGGAAATGATTCTATTTTCTTTCCTCCTTATAGCAGCTGCCATCATTTTGATAACACACAAGGGGAATCCAACAAAACTCCAGTAGAGAAGACTACAATGAACCTGTCAATTGCCAGAGAAGTTGCAGATAATAGTGATTGCAATGGTCTACGGGGACTCAGGAAGAAATGTCTGAAATTTCTAGAGGCTACGAAATTCCCCAGGAGCAAGCTTGAGGGTTTTCTCTATTGTTGTTGACACAAAATTCACTATAGAGTGTAAATACTCTATTCATTTTGAATGAAAACTAATTACTTTCCTAGGGCAATTTAAAATTACCAATAGTGGCATTTCAATCTATGTATCTTCCCAGCAGAAGATCTCACTGTCACCACCTTTTCAACACCATCAAAGATCACACCCCTCTTCTAGCACAGCCAACTGCAGCACAAGCACCTGCCTTTGTTCACAAAGTGCAGAATATTATTATTTCCAAGTTTAAAAAAAAATAAAAAATCCATCAGTCACCACAACAGTTCATTATTGGTGATGGGTGGCAAACTACAGGAAAAGCAGGCTTGAAACCTGGCCAGCTTACAGGGCTTCTTCCTTGAAGCCTCAAGACAAAACAGAGGAAAGATACTGGTAAAGGACCTCAGCTGTGTAGCAGTAATACAGGACTACCAGAAGAGCAAAGAAAAATTGTTTTATCAGCAACCACCTAATTGAGACTAAGCCATTATTACCCCAGAGAAGTATTTGATAATCTTTATTCTTTAAGCAATGATCCAAACATGTCTTAAAGATTCCGAGATATATTTTGTCTCACTTTATTTACCAGAAACCACAAGCAAATAGTGATTTCTAAAGAGAAGAATAGACCCAATGTTTGGAAGGATCTCTTCAACGGCAATATCAGAAAAGGTATTTTACAACTGAAATACCACATCACCTAAAATTAAGCATTTGCATGTCATCTTGCACATTCTTCCTTCACCCACCAACCACACCAAACAGGCAAATATTACCAATTCCCTATTCAAAAGCCATACTGTTGCCTAATCACTCTTGACCAAAACATAAAAACTGTGAAAACATATCTGCTGACTCCACATTATTCATCAGTTACAGATGTTGTAGTGGGTTAAGCACTTTCATCATTCTGTATGTAATTACGCACGAATATGGAACCCATAAAACTAACATCATCACAAAAATTACAAAAATATTGCGAGCTTTCTTTTTTGTTCTCTAAAGTAAACCGGGGTAGTACATCATGTATATTGCCAAATGCAGTAATCACCCAGATGTTTAAATCTGGATTAGGACAGTAGAAGCAAATACATTGAAAATCTTAAGTGGTTTTTGGCAAGCTCTGTAGCTTGGGTTTCCAGTCCTTTTACTCACTGGCAGCTCCTCATTCTCACTATACCAGACAACCACCAAAGCAGCTGCTTCTGTCATCATACTACAGAAAAGAAATTCAGGTGACGGCACCACAGGTTGGAGAGTATTAACTGCCTTTGATCCTGGTTTACTGCTCCTTCCATAGGGAATTTTTTAAAGATTAATCTCGGAAAGAAGTCATTTAACCTAAAAAGAGAAGATGCACTTTACAGTGGCTGAGAGCAGTGTACAGAGGAGTGAAAATAGCTCCTGTCCATTATTTGTTCAATGCAAGTTGAAAAACCTGAGGAAAAATGTCAGCTTCACCGCAATCACACTGATTTTTTTTGTTGTTGTTGCTATTTTTTAACTAGAGCCTCAGGATATGGCCATTTATCCAAGTAAGTTTATTACATCCAGTATGGGATAACTTCATTTAGCTCCACCCAGGATGCCAGCAGACTTTAAAGGTCCTTTTTATCTCAAATGGTTTAGAAGTCAAACATAAGCCAAAACCGTGTTTGCAGAGCTACTCACTCAAGTCTTCCATTCTCTGCTTCCTCGCCGAAAATGCAGATATGGCTCCAAACCACATGCAAATGCTCTTATTCCTGTTAAAATGTTCAAGTCTCCAGAGATGATGAACCAGAGGAAACTTGGATTCTGGCAGGAGACAGGAACCTTACTTTAGGAGTCCGGGCCAGACATGAGGAAGGCAAATTGGCAGTAAGTGTCCCAGGGAGAGCGAAGACTGAAAGCAGGTGCTCACCAAGTCAGAACATTGCCTTCACGGCGTTCTGCTCCTTGGTAGGACATCCCGAGCACATCACGTGCTTGCAAAGAGTATTTTTACACAGAAAAGGTGTTTAACATTGCACAACCGTTTCTTGGAACAGTTAAACCTGTAGCAGCTTCAGACAAGTCTCGAGGACGATGACTCTGCCCATGGGAGTTCAAGAGGAACACTTCAGAGCAAATGAAGTAAGAAAGAAAAGACCGTGCTTACAGCACCTGCATTCCCGAAATGCTCTCTTGTATCTTGCACCTATCTGACAGGCTGCCTGAGAGCAGCATCACTCCAGAACATAACACACAAAGGTCCCAGCCACCTTGCAGGACACGGGATATACACGACTCTTTAAACTTCATTTATAAAAAAATGAAGTGCAGAAGTTCATAATCGTTATTTTCAACTGATCGTTACACCACATTTGCCTGGTTGAGGCTTTTTTATTTAAACCTAGTTCAAGTTAAAGTTCCATCATTCATTCAGACACAAAAACCTTCCCATCCTCCCATCCAAGTCAGGAAAGCAGGATACTGCTTCTCCCACGAGAAATGAGTTATCGTCTGATCTGGGCACTGTGAGTTAAGACGGCCAGACTGCAGGTACTCATTACACACAGCTCTGCACTTATTTGATCTATACACCTGGAAATCATTATCAGAGCAAAAGGCATACATACTACCTCTTTGCACATTAAGTACTTAAACCTCTTAACTAGTATTAAAGAGTCAGGTTTTAAAGATAACATGAAAGCAAGTCCAACAGAAATGCTAGGAGACTAAAACAGAAAGGCATCTAAGTATGCAGGGTAACTAAAAATACAGAGAACAGCTCCTTTTTCTTATTTAAGCCAGACAGATAAATCTTTTAACAAGATTTGGTCATGTGTTACCAGTCTTAATAAACACAACAGGACCATTCTGCTGTAAGCTGTCAGTCTCACACCGCAAGATAAAAAGGCACTATTTTCAGCAAATGCCTGACTAAAGGAAGCATGTGCTGCAACTGCCAGTG